TTACCCTGTACCATTCCCTTCCCCATCCTTACACACATACACATAGTAACTTTGAGGGGTGGAGAAAGAAGGAAAAAATAAGTCATGTAATACACATGGTGAGATCCGTTCAAGATGTGTGATGGCTCACACAAAAGCATATGGAAGTTCGGTGGCAGAGATTTGACCACTCTGAGCCCAAATCACTGTGTTGTGGGAAGTTTAAGCTTAGAGAAAGCTGCTCGCCTTGGAATTGCCCCGCTCTGATGCTGTGCGCTGTGTCCCCCAACACAAAGCAGTGTCAGGGAGGGAACAATGCAAAGACATTGTTCACACGTGACTCCTGTGCAGAATACAACTGTTTGCAGAAAGTTTTATTACTTAAAGTAAAATGTACCTAGAATCACTCTTCCAAAAGTACTTCACATAGAAGCCTATTCTGTTCTCTGATAGCATCTGTGTTATTATTTGTCGATATTAACATTGTGTTTCAGAAATTGCTACAAATACACATAAATATATTCATAAAATGCATAATCAGACAATATATTTTTGTTTATAAGCAATTAATGTAATAGTTTGATTATAATCTATCCTTTTACTGTTGCTCCATCTTTGTACAACATTGTAAATTTTTTTTTTATTCCACAGAAAAGGCTAATGTTGTCAAGCATCCCCCAGTGGCTATTCTTCCTCTTGGGACCGGCAACGATCTAGCAAGATGCCTGCGCTGGGGAGGAGGTAAAACAGTGCAAAACCAAGAAAAAGCAGACACTCAATGCTAGCCTCTCCCCAGTCCCCTCCCCACCCCCGTTTCTTCACTGCTTGATAACCTCCACGTGTTCAGGAAATATCACTACTTTCAGATATCTAGTACATTATTTATAACAATAGTCTGGGGACAGGAACCAGTAATGAACAAGGAGATGGAGTGTGAGTGTTGGACTGAGGATCTTGCCCTGGGCAGGATAGTTTCTAAGCTTCTCGACTTACTTTCCAACTAGAAAATGAAATGACATGGATTAGCATGGATTGCTATTAGTCACTGTTGGCTGGACATCAACTGGTAAATTCTCAGACATTTATTGGATGCATTGTGTGAAAAATAACAGGCAAAAAATAGAAGATTAATAAATAGCTCATCCAGGTGTATGTCAATTAAGTAAAAATTAGTTTTTGACACTTGTCTCATAGCTGGAGTTTTCCTAAGTACTTGAGATATAATATAAAGATCAGAACAGAAATACAGAGTCTGTGTTCAAAAGGTACCTTAAATTCTGATGAGTCATAAAGTCATATGTAAACTCTAGCATTCCACTTTGCACTAAGCAAACAGGTGACTAAAGTAATGAAGGACTCCCCCCCCCACAAGGACATAATAAATAAGGTGAATCCCAATGATTGAATAATGAGAGAGCCATGTACAAACAGAAGGAAGACTTAGAGACAAAGGACATATGAAGTTCATGGGACCAAGAGATGGGAATGTGTTTAATCTGTTCCATAAACTAAAAATGCCTGGATCAGGGTGAGCAATCTATTCACATTTAAAATTCAATGGCTTGCTAAATATATTATTCCTTGATGTAAATTTTGAATGTTTCCATATGTGCT